GAGGGCTGTTTCAGCCACCAGGCCCAACCCTGACTTCAGTCTGCCCCAGGAAACCACCTCTTGCCACCTCTGCCACATCACCTATGTCTATCTGCCATCAGCTCAGTGCAGGTCAAAGCACAGGCCTACTGTTCAGGGACTTTCATACTAGGTCCCCCAGCCCCAGTCAACTTTCCACTAAGCAGCCAAGGCTGCCATTTCTCTTCCAAAGAAAACTCATGACTTTTTTTTTTTTTTTTTTGAGACAGGGTCTCTTTACAAAGCCCTGGCTGTCCTGCAACTCACTATCTAGACCAGGCTGGCCTTGAACTCTGCCTCCCAAGTGCGGGGATTAAAGGCATGTGCCACCACATCTGGCTGACTTCTTTTTCAATTTTTATTTATAGTTGTGTGTGCCTGTGTGTGTGTGCGGCTCAGCAGCAGGAAAAGCTAGGTGCATCCTAAGCCAAGCCTGAAGATTTGAGTGCAGGACTTAGACCCACCTAAAGGCAGGAGAGAAACAACCCCACAAAAGTGTCTTCTGACCACCGAATGCAGGCCCCAGTATATTTTATAATTTCTAAGTTATTCTACTGGTGTGTATAGGTGTTCTGCCTTCATGTACATCTGTGTACTATGGCCGGGCAGTGGCTGCCGAGGCCAGAAGGCAGTGCAGGATCCCTTGGTGCTGGAGCCACAGCTCATTATGAGCCACCTAGCAGTGCTAGCATTCAGACCTAGGTCCTCTGGAAGAGAGCCCAGGGCTCTTACCCACTGAGCCATTTCTCTAGAGTTCTTTATTTATTATTACATTCTGTGGCAGGGTCTCTTATGTAGTCCTGGCTGGCCCTGGGACTCACTACGTAAACCAGGTTGGCCTCAAACTCTGCCTCCAGAGTACTGGGATTAAAGGGAAACACCACCAGTGAGCTGGTCACTGTCTTTTCAAGTTGTTTTTAAAAAAAATTCCACCTAAGTGTGTGTCTTAGAATTTTTATTGCTAAGGGGAAACACCATAAGCAAAAAAATTTGCGGAGGAGAGAGTTTATTTGCCTTCCACTCCCAGATACTGTTCATCATCAAAGGAAGTCAAGACAAGGAACTCAAGTAGGGCAGGAACCTTGCAGCAGGAGCTGAAGCGGGGGTCATAGAGGGGTGCGGCTTACTGGCTTGCTCAGCCTGCTTTCTTATAGAATCCAGGACCACCAGACAGGGCTTGACCCACCCACAATGGCTGGACCCTACCCCATCAATCACTACTTTAAAACAGCAGGATCTTAAGGAGGCATTCTCTCAATTGAAGGTCCCTTCTTTCAGATGACTCTAGCCTGTGTCAAGTCGACATAAAACTATCCAGCACAGTGTAGTGTGTATGTGTCACAGCACATGGACAGAGGTCAGAGGACAATTTGCAGGAGTCAGTTCTTTCCTCCTACCACACGTGTTGGCATAAATGAGGTCCCACTAGCCTAGCAACCTCTGACATCATCAACTACCGCCACCAGATGTGTGCTGAATAAAAAGGACCCACTCACTTTCTCTCTCTCTCTCTTACACTCTCATTTTCTCACCTCTCTCTGCAGGAGTTCCAAACAAGGGACCTTTCCTTCTCCCTTTCTTCACTGGACTCAGATTTTATGACAAAAACCTGGCTAGGCTACATTCAAAGCCCCAAAATTGGCATACCAATTTTTCAAATTCTTACAACCACAGGCAGTTGATTCCCAGATATCTAAACTCTGCTCTATGCCCTCAAAGCCTCTCATCTCTGAGGCTCTACTTCCCAATTCTTAAAAATCTTTTCTCTCTGATTTCTTTGCACTCTGCTCTCAAAAGAAAAATATGTATCTTAAAATTATACTGTGAACTATTATCTAAGAATTTATAATTTGCTTAATGGGCATGGTGTTTAAAACTCTAAGTTCAACTCTCATTTAGGTCAATGTATGTACACATGTATGTATATCTAAGCAGCCATGTTGATCACATGGCTTAGAACCTGCCATAAGATGACCATGTGGTATAAAGCAATAATTATGAAGCCTCTTAGTTCTAAGCCTCTTACCACCTTTTAGACTAAGAAAGCAACAAGTCTCATTTTAAATTGGTATGGATTTTCACAGAAGTTCAAAGTCATGCTTTTACAATATGGTTCAAATGTTCTTTATGTGATGGTGAACTTTCAAGATTATAAAGGTCAATTCAGATTAACAAGCTTTAAAATGCATGTCTTACTTATGTCTTTGCTAGTTCTTGGATGCATAATGAATGCTGTTTCTCCTGCTATCAGCTACTGATGCTTAGGGTTCACCTTTAGGCTTTCTGAACAATGGATTTGGTATACTAAATTCAAAATGTAATTTTAAAGTTATTATATACTGTTCTACTGTATTGTTGACTCTAGAAACAGGTTATTGTTTAACCTTTCTCAGACCCAGTCATGTTGAAAGCTTGTGCTTAGATAATCGTAAACCATGTGACATGATTCCAAAGATATTTTTAAGTTGGAATATATTAATTTTAGAGACATTCAATTGTTTACAATGTTAGAACCTGGGTTATTATGCTCTATCTTCACTCTCAAAAGATTAAAAAATCACTGCTTCAAAGACATGTTGTTTTTACTGATGTTACTAATCTACAATATAGCTATAGCATTTTTTATGAACTAAATCATACAGGAAACTGTTATGCCCTATATTGGCACAAATCAAAAGGTCAAAAATTTCCCGGTCTCTTTATGGTCCATGTTTATGATTTTTAAGGCTCCAACTTAACAGAGATGAAACCTAGTCTTTAATGATTAAGAACTACAAATTAAGTCACCTTACAAATGATCAAATCCTTTAATGTGTCCAGAAACACATTTGTAGTCATGCTAAGAACCACTGTGACTGATTGCAGGATTGAGCTTTATTTAGCACCCTGTACATGTTTTCAAAGCTGAACAGAAAGTAACTAGAAACAACCAAAACTTGTCTATTTAGGTCTGCTTGAGATGGTTCTCAACATTTACCTGTAGAATATGACATTAATTATAGATCGTAACATTCTATATTAGGTTTGCCAGGTATAGTTTAGAGCAGATAACTAAAGGCAGATAAAGACTGTTTAACTCAAATATGCTAGCCCTCAAATCTGCCAGAGACCTGCTGAATATGGCATGTTTAAACTTACCATGATAGAGACTCCCAAATCCTAACAGTGACTCCCACGGTCTTTGAGAAGATTTGGGCACAAGGACAGATGACTTGAACCCTGGATTGTGGTACGATAACTACTGGGCAGACTGTCCCAATGCCTTGCCCACTGCTAGGGCCCAGCCTGAACTGTGGAGGAACTGGACAGCCAGGGGGTTCTTGTCTTACATTGCTGAGAATGAGGTGAGGTCGGCTTCTCCCATGTTCTTCCTCCACAAAAAAAACCCTCTCATCTTCTGTGCCTGATGGCCACAGTGCCTCTGCCCTCCTTGACATGGAGACCCAGGAACCTGGGACAACTGTCATTTTGATTGATACATATATTCATCTAGGTTAAGATTTATCATCTCAGATCTCTGATCACATTGACAGCTAAGCTAATGGTAGCTTGACAGCAAGAGAACAGGCAATTAGCTCCTTACCCCAAGATAATATACTATGTTAGTTCATTAGTCAATTCATTAACTAGTTAAAACTACTAAATACTAGATTTCATTTGAATACTAACTACTAATCTCTGATTTGAAAGGCAAACAGGTTTGCCTTGCTCACAGGCCTAGATAGTTAAAAGAAAGTGGCTCATAAAAGGAATGGAAAATGCTTCATATTTCTTCTTGTTGCTATGCTACTGCTGTATTAAGACTGTTCAGAGCTTTGACATTAACTCACTGGAGCTCTGATTTATTAATCTAGCTCTGGTAAAACAAACAACCGAAACATTCCACTATACAAACCAATATCATAGTTCCAAGCTCAAGATTTTAAATTTCCTTTGGTTTGTCCTTTAAGTGTAGACTTAAAATTGTTTCCCATTGTGCTAGACTTACAGACATCCAGTCTTCCGGACAAAGGGAAGAAGTCCCTCTTATGATGTGTAATCACACTGAAAATTAAGATCACGTGAGCTTTTGCCCTTTCTACTTCATGGAGGGCTTCTGCCTTCCCTGAGCTCACCTTAAAAGCGACATCTAAGCATACAGTAGGTCTCTACTCAGAACTTGGGCATGTTAGCTCAGCAGAAGACCACCTGTCTACCATGCATGTTGCCCTAGGTTCCATCCCTGCACAAGAGGAGCAGACAGATGCCTGAGTTGGAGGGGCTGTCCCTCACCCTCAAGTCCCAACTACTCAGAGGCTGAGAAAGAAGGATCCTTTTCTGGGGAGGGAGGGAAACAGAGCTATCGTTTGTTACGATTTATTAAGCTTTATTAAGGGGGAAGGAACTACCCAGGGTGGGAAGGGCGCTGGAAGAGAATACCTAGAAGGTCCCTTAAAGACCTCAGCAGTTCCAGACCAGCTTTAGGCCAATACAGTAAGACTGTCTCAAAAATAAAGTTACCCTCGGTGCTGAAAGCCAAATGGCTGTAAAGCAGTTGCTATGGCAGCGTGAGGACCTGAGTTTGTACTCCCAACACCCACACAAAAGCCAGGAATGGCTGCTGGCATCTGTAACCATAGGGCTAGGGGGGCTGAGAAAGGAGAATTCCTGGAAATTGCTGGCCTGCCACTATGTCATGTCCCCAGCTTCTGTGGAGACTGTCTTTCTAAATTAAGGTGGAGCGTGATTAGGGAAGACATCTGATTAACAACTTCGGGCCACCTCGTTTGGCACCCCCCCCACACATATACACACAGGTTAAAAACAATTTGTTGGGGTGCGGAGACAGGTCAACGAGTACAGGCGCTGCTGCTCAGCCTTACCATCAGAGTTCAACACCAAGGGCCCTCACGGTGGAAGGCGAGAATCTAATCTGTCAAGTTGTTCATCATCAAATAATGAACCAGTGGTGAATGCCCAAACCCTACACCCCCAGCACTCACTTTTATACTAGGGGTGCAATGTCTAGCGCTGCCCGCAGCTGGGGAAACAGGCTGACTGCAGACTCCCTCTGCAGAGCCTCCATTCTTAGCCCACGCGGCGCGGACTTACAGATGAGTCACCCGGATTTCTGAAGGGTTTCCCCCTAAATCTTCCCCGCCCGGTGACCGGAATAAGTGGAGCTGTGCCGAGAACGGACTATCACATGGCTGGCGCGGATCATCCTACTCTTGGACCACCGAGACGCCGGGGCAGAGGGCCGCCCTGAGAATGCCAAGCCCCGCCCCTGCCCGCACAACGGAAGCCGGAAGTAGCCGCAGGCCCCGCTAGCCCCGCCGCACCGAACTCGGTAGTCTCGGAAGCTCGCAAGATTGGGGAGAAGATGGCGGAGGAGGAGTGAGTGCACCGCTCCGGGTAGCGGAAGCGGCAGGGCCGGGCCGGCGGATGACAGGGGTCCTTGGGCGCGCTGGTGGAGAGGCTCAGGCCCCGCTGGCCGGGGCTGGTGGGGGGCGGGATGAGGCCCTGCGGCCTCCCGGAGGTCAGACATTGGCCGCCACGCGTAGGTCCGTAACGTAGCCGGGCGGAAGCCGAGAACATAGTTTCCTCTCCCGGTTTCCGGTTATCTGAGGGTACTCAGGCGCCTCTCCTCCGGGAAGCCCTCCCCAATTGCCACAACCAGCCACTCTCATCCTCCTTAACCATCAGCAACCTTTAGTGTTCGTGTCTGTCCCCAGCAGGTTTCTTTCATTCATTAACTGTTAGTTGTCTTGCTTTCCTCGAAGGAGCCGCCCTCAGGGAACGACCATTCTGCTATAGTGGGGGATTTTGTGTAGACAGGGTGTTTCCTGCCAAATGCTTGGAGGTAAATTAAGTAGTGTGAGGGGTGAGAAACCTGCCCTAGGAGAAAGACGTCTTGTGACAAGAGACTTGAAACCACAGGAGAGATAGGGAAGTAAAGGGGCTGATGATGGGGCTGGTGCCCAATAAGTCCCCAGTTCAGTCCCTAGTCCTTCCAGGAGAGAGAAGGGAGTGGGTGGGTGCTTTAGAGTGACGGAGTTGGCAGGTGGTTGACAGTGGAGAGCGCAACTCATATAATCAGGCCCGCTCCAGCTCTGTCTGGGTATGTTCCACCGTTAGCCCATCTCCAAACTTGGCAGGCCACCGTCTGTTGTGGTGTTAGAAATTTTGTCTTTGAAATGAGCCCCTGAAAATCAACAAGGATTGATAATCAACTTTTACTGGCAGTGTTTAGGGCCACTCAGGTACCAAGTCATTAACTCTGTTACTATGTATCCGTGCTGTCACACTAAAGTAGGCTTCGGCAGTGCAAGACAAAATAGGTAATGTAGAGCGAAATGGTTTGCAGTATGGCTTTGAAGCTTGGTCAAGTTATGAGGTCTGTTGCATAGTTCCTGGAGTGAGGCAGTGCTCAGTAGATGCTGCCTGTCACAGTCACAACTATGTCACTACGCCAGTTCACATACGTAACAACGAGAGCGTGGGACAAAGGCTCGGGTAGAGTGGGGTGTTCCACAGCAGGCAACCTGAGCCTTTTGAAATTCAAGAAGGGCTTAGTTGGTTAGAGCATTCTGGGCAGAACAACTGGGCAAACTCAGCCGACTTCTTCAGTTTATGGCCGTAAGCCCGGAAGGGCTGGAATATAAGTGGTAGAGCCCTTGCCTGATACACCCAAGGCCCTGGGTTCAGTCTGTAGAAACATACACAGAACATCCAGAATCCAAGGAGAATGTAAACAACTAGGAAAGTTAAGGAACCAAGTAACTAAGTAGTACTGAAGTTGGGTTCCACCTTTTTTTTTTTTTCTTTTTTTTTTTTTGACATGGGTTTATGTAGCCCACAGAACTGATCTTGAATTCACTGTGTGTCACTGTGTAGCTCAGGGTGACCTTGACCCTGAACTCTTCATTTTCCTGCTTCTGCCTCCCAAGTACAGGGATTAGATTACAGGCATGGGTTAGCATACCCTGCTACCCTCATTAAGTTCAAGGGACAGACAGTATTCCCTACCCTTTCACCAGGTGAGGTTTCTCTTTGTAGCTCTGGCTGTCCTAGAGCTCACTCTGTAGACCAGGCTGGCCTCGGACTCACAGAGATTCATCTGCCTCTGCCCCGGAATGCTGGAATCACAGGTGTGTGCCACCACCACCCAGCTCATTTCCCCTTCTGTTGTTGATTTTGGTGTGGAGAAAGGGACCTACTGATGATTGACCTTTGGAGTCAGGTGTATGCTGGGCAGGCATTCTATTGTTTGTTTGAGTCAAGGTTTCACTATGCAGTTCTGGTTGGTTTGGAGCTCTACTAGGTCAATAGGCTGTAAACTTGTGATTCTCCCTCTTGGGATTACAGGCATGTGCTACTGTGTCCACTCTTTTACATTTTGAGATGGGGTCTCACTAAGTTGTCTAGCCTGGCATTGAACTTACTAGCTCCCTGCAGGTTTTGAATTTGTGGTCCTCTTACCTAACCAGTTGTTTGGTAACATTAGGCTTTACATTTTTGTTTTGTTAGCCCATGCAAACGTGGGATTTTAGCTGAAAATGCCCTCAAACTCTTGATCTTTCTCCTCTTCCTGTTGCTGGGATTTTAGGCCTGTGCCACGTACACCTGGTTTATGCAGTTCTAAGGATCAAACCCAGGGCGTCCTTTGGCACTACCAGCTGAGCCAAGTCCCTGACCCTAGCCTTTTGTATTTCTTTCTCCACAGACCTGACCTCTGGATAGATGGCCATAGCCAGAGACACTAGAGATCACTGGCACATGTGTGCTATGCAGGCAGGGATTCCTTCCTCTCTCTGCAAGGCCCATCTGCTATTTGTACCAAGTTCTCATTCAGTCAAGGTGTATGTTTTGATCCCTTGACCCATTTCTTTATCTGACTGTAACTTGTATGTCTCCAACAGGTTCTCCAACACAACCCATGAGAACCTCAATTTCACCCTTCACACTACCCTGGGTGTCACCACGAAGCTGGTGCTCCCGACGCCTGCCAAGCCCATCCTTCCGGTGCAGACAGGCGAGCAGGCCCAGCAGGAGGAGCAGTCAAGTGGCATGACCATCTTCTTCAGCCTTCTCGTCCTAGGTGAATAAGCCCAGAGGTGTCTGTTACCAGTCAAAACTTTCTGTGCTTCCTGAAGTCAGAGGCCTAGCAGTTCTAAAAAGTGTAGTCTCTTGGGTTTTGAAAGACAGAATTTTTCTTTCTTTTTAAGACAGTATCTCTCTCTTATGTCCAGCCCTAACTGGCATGCAACTCACTCTGTAGACCAGGATGGCCTCAAAGTCAGAGATCCATCTGCCTTTGCCTCCCACTTGCTGAGATTAAAGGCATGCTTCCAACACCCCAGCAACAGGTAGAGAAGGGGTTAGTGGGAGATGGCCACAGTTCTCCTAGCTGCTTCGTGCTGGTCAGGGCCGTCAGGTTCCTTGGAGCAGTTCAGTCCTTGTTTCAGGAGATCTCCAACTTCTTGTCTCACTGCAACAACAGCAACAGGAGCCACAGGGGTGAAGAAGCAGCAGCCTTGTTTTTTCTTGGAGTTCCCCAACACTCTCTGGGCTCTGGCATTTGTTCTCTCTCCAGAGTCCTCAAATTTAAACTATCTGCAGCTGGCAATGAGCTCCTCTCAGAGCCCATATGAAGCAAATAGTTTGCTGCTGTGGACCATCTGAATCAGTCGCACAGCCCACACCTGGGATTAAAAAAAAAGAGGCTTTGATCTGGACAGGTGTGGTGACTCACACAGTTCTATTGCTGGATGGCAGATCCTGTGGGTTGATTGGAGTTGATTGACAAATAAGTCCACTGAAGCAGTGAGCTCCAGGCTGATTTAGAGACCCTGTTTCAAAGAAAGTGGCTTTACATTTTTGTTTTGTTAGCCCAAGCAAACATGGGGTTTTAGCTGAAAATGCCCTCAAATTTTTGATCTTTCTCCTTTTCCTCCTGAGTGCTGGGATTATAGGCCCAGACTGAGGATAACACCAAAGATATCTTCAGGCCTCCCCAAGCACCTGCCTACACATTGGATTTTTAAAAATGCAGCTGAAGCCACACCAGTACTTTAGATTATCTGGGGAAGAACAGGCTTAGGGGTGTGTCTGAAGTCATGCTTTGTTGGACAGTAAAGCTACATTTACTTCTCTGCTGCTGGTTGGTTCCAAGTTTTTGGAGACAGGGTCTCAGGATGCTCAGGCTGGCCTTGAACTCATTATATAGCAACCAGCCTTCCAAGTGCTGGGATTATGGGCATGTACCACCACCCCTGGCCTTATTTACTACTTACTTTTCTTTGGTGATAGCAGAGTTATCTTTTGGATTAAACCTTTCCAGGAGAATAGAAGGCAAGGCTAGGTTTTGAGTATTTTCTTTCATAAGACAGGGTCTCGTGTAGCCTAGGCTCGCCTCAGCTTTGGTAGCTGAGGATACCTGAACTTCTGATTCTCCCGCCTGTACTGTTCCATTGCTACAGGAGTGTATCACCATGACCTGTGTGAGTATTTCTCTGGTGTCTGTTAGGACTAGGTTTTGAAGATAATTTTCACATTTATATTAATATGGTCAAATAATTGAATACTGTAGTAATGACTCAATGGTTAGTTGGCTGATCTTTTATTTTTCTGAGACAGTCTTGCTTTGTAGCCTAGATTGGCCTCAAACTCTCGACAGTCCCCCTGCCCCTTTCCTCCCAGTGTTGACACAGAGGTGGGCAGGCAGATGCCGCCACATCCTGTCTTTTGTTACAGCCCTAGAACAGCAGGTCTTTATTGAATTAAGTCATCTTTAGTGTATGAAGTTTTCTTTGAGGGTGTTGAGCAAGCATTGAGCTTGCTGTCTGGTCCCTCTGTTAGAGCTATGGAAGACATGCCTGGAAAGGACTTTTGAAGCCCTTTGTTATGGAGGGGTAAGCACAGAGATGTTGAAGGTCACTTTTGGGGTGTGGGCTGTTCAGGATTAGACCTCAGCCTCCAGAATGTGCTTTCTACCCCAGTTTGCAGCTGCTAATCCCTGGAGGTGGAAAGGGCTACACAGTCCCCAAAGGTACCCCTGTTTTCTTGAGTCACTGGTTCCTTTTTTTTTTTTTTTTGTCATTGAGACAGAGTTTCACTCTGTAGCCTCCCCTGCCTTAAACTCTAATAAATAAACTCTAATAAATAGCTGCTTCTGCCTTCTCAAGTGCTGGGATTAAAGTGTTTGACACCATGCTGCGCTCCTAGGATACTTTTGGACTCTTGGGCCTTTTGCCTCCATCTCTCACTACACCTCACTGTAAGGCATGCTTCTTCTGTGTCCCTGTGTATCACCATTCTTGGTATTCAGACAAAGTCAGCCTGATCAGGGGAAACTGTTAATAAGTGACTGGATAACTCAGTGACGCCCCTGTAACCTGCATTGAATTGAGAGCTCGTGCCTAGTGTTGGAGCATTTTCTAGACCTCGAGAATCCCTTTCCAGCCACACAGCTTGTGCTTTGTTTCTGTTTGAGTGAAGTCGTTGGAATTGTAACCTAGTGTTCTCTGAGCTTGTCACAGTAGTCCAGCATGGCCTTTGGCTGAGGAAGAAAGCTTTTACCTTGCTTACCTTGCATTTAACCCTTGCTGAGCTCTTGACTCCACAGAAAACAGTGAGTCAGTATAGTTAACTCTGTCTGGCACAAATGTCCTGTTTAGTGAGTTCTGTATCTTGCTTTTTCTACTTCTATTTTTCTTCCTGGGAGTAATGAAAAACTTATTTTTGGGGTGGACAGGAGACCTCCATGCCTGTAATGCTATCATTGGAGAGGACAGCTCAGGGGTCCAGCCTGGGCTACAGAGTTCGACCCTAACTCAAAACCTTAAGCAAGGGGCCAATGAAAAAGCTCAGCAGGCAAAGGGACTTGCTGCTAAACTTGATGATCTATCTGAGTTCAGTCTCCAGGACCCAGATAGAGGAAGGAGAGACCTAGTCCTTTGACATCCAATTCCATGCCATGGCACGTTAACCCCTCCCCCCTTACAAATTAAACAAAATAAAGCAGCTAAATAAAAACAGAATGTGCTTTTCTGTAAGCTGGTGTAACTTGAATTTGGCCTAATGAAAGGGGAGTCTTGGACCTTCTCACTGTATGTGAAAGAATTTAGTAAACTGCTGAAATGTCTACTCCATTAGGACATCTGGAAGAGTCCAGAGCAGAGAGAAAGAGAAATAGACTGGACATAGTGAGGGCTATCTGGGAGTCAAGGGTGGGGAGGTTGAGTACCTGTGGGTTGTGAAGGGCCAAGAGGCTAGCCTGAGCTTTGATAAAAAAGCCGAGGTGCATGTCAGTGGCGAACCTTGTGTCCCTTCTGACAGAGGCAAGGGAAATAACACTTTTTTTTTTAGGAACTGAACACCTGTTTTACCAGCTCCTGAGGAATGCTGGCTTTTATCTAACCAGCAGAAATCCTATAGTCCAGCTTGAGCTCATTTCTGAATATATGGACTGCCTAAGATCTGATACTCCAGTCTTTTGTTGGTGATAAGGGGCAAAGTAATGTCTGAGTGCTTCAATGCTTGGGGCCAGGAGCTGTCTTTGTGGCACAGACTGGAGTGGAGGGGACATAGGGCTGGGTAGTGGTAGACTTGGGAAATTCCATCAGATGCTTCCGGCTGCTTTGGTAGAGCCTAAAGACACGGGGAACGGTCATTGGCTGGACTGGTTCACACTGGGGAGTTGTTTACATCCACTTTGGGCAAGTCCCAGGCTCACAGATTCAGAAGCAAGACCACCCAAGATGCAAGCATCTTTGGAGCAGTTTGCAGCCCAAAGTTAACTCCTGGATGGTGTCCATCAGCTGAGTGGAAATCTGCTGGACAGATACTGACTAGGGAAGTATTAGCATGATCACTGTTTGAAATCCTTGTAGGAAAAGCAGTTAACAAGGTCTGTAAACAGCTGGAGCAGACTCATGCCTCTGGGCTATAGCAAAACAAAGCCTGAGAAGTTACCACATGATAGAAGTATGAGCTGTTCATTTGTAATCACTCAGAAACTTCCTGGCAGGAAAGAGAACAAAGGGAAGAAGAGCTTGAGGGCCCGAAAGATGGTTCAGGGTTGAAACACAAACACCCAGCCTGGTGTGGTGGCACATGCCTTTAATCCCAGCACTCACAGAGGGCAGAGGCAGGCAGATCAGTATGAGTTTGACGCCAGCCTGTTCTACACAGAGAAACCCTGTCTCAAAAAAACGAAAAAAGTAAAAACTTAAAAAAACAAAAACCTGAACACTCTTCTCTGTCCAGAGGTCTAAATGGATATAGATTGGATAGAGGTGTTTTCAGCACAGTGAGAAACTTAAGTCTTCGTGTAGAAAACAACCAAAGGAAATGAAAGCTTTGTAGCTTCTGTCTTTGGTAACTTGGAGCCTGTGACTGTAGTAACTGCTTATTTGTAAAAAGCTTTTGTAGCCAGTGCTTTTGTAACCAAAACAGATTAACAGTTCATCAGAATCACTGAGTGAACTTGGAAGCATTAACAACATATGATCATCTTTAACTCTTGTTTTTTATATAACTTAAATCACTTTTTCAGACCTTTACAACTTGCATTCATACATCTTAAGTCACTTTCTTTAACAACTTATGTAAACTTTAAGCTTGTTTTTTTTTTTTTTTATTTTCCTTTTATTTGGAAACAGCCAGTCATTTACCGGGAGACACTGCTGCTAGGTAACTGAGAGCAGTTATTGAAAAGCAAGTTGAAAAGTTTTAAATTTGTATCATCAGCAAGCAACATGTCCGTCTTTTGCATTCAAAGTTACTGTAAAGCCTGACTGTTTTAAAGATGAAAACAGACTTTTAGTTATCAGTGGACTGACTGGGCAGTGCGGCCTTTGGGAGGAGCTAAGGGCTAGTTGCTGCTCATAAATTGTCTCGCCATTGACATCATGAGATCTGAGAAGGATTTATCTGAGTTGGAAGTATAGACCAAATGGCCTCTGTATCAGTTAAAATGACGGACATTAACCTACTATCTGGGCAACCTGGGATCCTCCTTGATGGGTCTCCATGGCTTCATTGGGGGCAAAGGTTGTCATCTTTGACTGCCACACAGGGCAGTGTTAAGCCTTTGGT